ATGCTAAGATACCCCCTAAACATTTTAAATGCATATTCATCACAAAATATAACTCCTCTGGTGAGATATATTGCGCATGCGCTCACACACTAACGTAGCCAGATTGTATACGGGCTGGTATACGCAGCGGGGACCTTACATGCAAGGTCTTCCTCCTATTTCTTAAATGATATCTACAGATAAAATGTTTTTATATAAATCTATGCTAGGATAACTCCTCTTCATTTTAAATGCATAATCTTTGCAAAATACGATTTCTCTCGGTGTTACCGCACCGTGTTCACGCACCGTGATAGGCGTACAGTGCCGTTTAAGGAAAACTTCATAATATAGCTTGCTGAGGGGGAGAGGAGATGGGAGACTGAGGAAAGGCGACAGGGAAGATAGCTGGTGGCGGTAGAAGAAGAAGGAGGTTGAGTGAGGGACAGGGGAGGCAAGGGGAAGGACGCGAGGGCAAAAAGTAGGTGTTTTGTACCCTACATGCTAGGGCGCTCTCCTAATTATAAACACAGGTGTACTGATAAAAGTTCATTAGGGAAATCTATGCGGAGATACCCCCTAACCATTTTAAATGCATATTTATCACAAAATATAACTCCTCTTGTGAGATATTCCGCATGCGCTAACACACTAACGTAACCAGATTGTGTACTGGCTGGTATACGCAGCGGGGACCTTACATGCAAGGTCTTCCTCCTATTTCTTAAATTATGGCTACTGATAGAATGGTATAATATAAATCTATGCTAGGATAACTCCTCTTTGTTTTAAATGCATAATCTTTGCAAAATACGATTTCTCTCGGGAGATATTGCGCATGCGCGCGCACCGTGTTAGACGTGCAGTGCCTTCTGAGACAAACTTCATAATATAGCTTGCTAAGGGAGAGAGGGGATGGGAGACTGAAGAAAGGCGGCAGGAAAGATAGCTCGGGCGGTAGAAGAAGAAGGAGCCTGATCGAGTGACAGCGGAGGCAAGGGGAAGGACGCGAGGGCATAAAGTGAATGTTTTGTACCCTACATGCTAGGGCGCTCTCCTAATTATAAACACAGGTCTACTGATAAAAGTTTATCAGGGAAATCTATGCTGAGATATACCCTAGCCATTTTAAATGCATATTCATCACAAAATACAACTCCTCTGGTGAGATATTGCGCATGCGCTAACACACTAACGTAGCCAGATTGTGTACTGGTTGGTATACGCAGCGGGGACTTTACATGCAAGGTCTTCCTCCTATTGCTTAAATGATGTCTACTGATGCACCAGTGTGGAAATAAAACGCCGTATATACCTGCATGTATGTATTCATTGATATCCTGCGCATGTATACTGCGGAATATGTACCTACCGCATGAGGTTACATTATTATTGTTAGCATGAGGTTTCGGATATTTTCGTCAGTTGTTATTTTTTTAATTCTTTTTTATTTCGAATTCTTTTTCATTAAAAATAAATATAACATATACAGCATATTCCTTCTATGCATTTACCCGTATTCCAATTGTTAATAGTTATATTACTATTAGTGCTTAACGTAATGCTACGTGTTTATCTAAGAACGATTGGCAACATGTGCTTTAACATGTCATACAATATGTGAAGTTACTTCTAGCCTAGTATACATATAGCAAATGGCAATAGTATAGACGATACCGTGCGTATAGTAATAATATTAACATCAACATTACGTGTAGCTTTTGGTACGCGAACGTACGATGGATGTACGCTTTAAAAAAAATAATTTTATTAGACATATCAACATCCAAGCATATTGGTAAACATGTATTTCCATACATCTATTTGCAGAATAAACGATCAGCACCGGTTTTATGCGTCTATCAAATTTGTGTCATCGACTCAAAATTTGGCAAACCGAATTTAGCAGGTATACGCATTTAACAACGTCCTGCATTAGAAGCAACATCTTGTTGTGACACAATTCACGAGCAGGTCTAGCTAATCATACTATGTACTCCTTGTAACATGGAAACACACATAGGCGATGTGGTGAATCTACGTAACAGATACCTTATCACACAATGTAGCGATTCATTGATATAACATTAAACATGGGGCATTAGTAATTTATTTATGCGAAACAAAGCACGGCGAAACGTGCTCATTTACACGCAAGATCTTCCATCGATACATATATTCCATCGCCAGCAACGTCTGAGTCATTTATTGTGGCGCGTTAAAGCACATCACACATACATCCAAACCATATATACATATACAAGGATCTATATGTGTTGCGACCTGGTCGCATCGTCGAAAATGATTTCGACTTTACTCGATCGCCTCGGATGCGCTTCTGCCTGCTTCGTATGCTTCTGTCTGTAGTCGATATAGAGGGCGCCACTCAGCAACGCTGCGCTCAGACCAGCCGTGCTTCCACAAAGGATGACAACTAACTTTAGGTTGCCAGTGTAATCCAACACACCACCTGTATAGGAAGGCGTTGTTATGGCGCGCATGTGGTAACATCGCTAGGCATTGGAAGAGATATCAAATTCAGAATCTCCTATAATTCCTTTCTCTTACGCTTCCTTTTTGTATGACAAAACATCGCTTAGTGTCGAGGAACCTGGTGGGATAGATGAAGCATAAACTGGGCTGTATTGACATCTGGCATAGTGACTTTGAGAGGCCCAGAGCTAAGCGTTCTTATGCCACTGTTTTAATGGCTCTGGATGGTGGGTGTGGAGTTTATACTTAGCGCTGCCAGTTTAAGCATATGCGTCATGATAGCAATGATGATGCGACCAAGACAGAAACATATACTAGTTCTCAGATAGGTTCTCAGGGAGGGGGGAAGTTTCATCTTTACTTATTGGAGTATAACCGCCGAGACCTTTCTTGACAGACGCTTCACAAAGGAGTAGATAGTCTACTATTGTTTTGTCATTGTTTATGTTTCTCTCCCGGTGTCGTAGCAAGCGGGGGCGGTAACAAACGGGGAGGGGGCAGTTCCGCCAGACCAATGTAGATAACAGATACTATTACATTATACTGTCAGTGAACCTGCCATGGACAACTGTCAAGAACACAACCCGCATGTGGCTTTCTAACCCCCCTGGCATAATGAGTAATATCTACGCTCCTGCTCTCACATTCAATAACAAAAAGTTATTCAGTCGTGATATATATTATATATATATATATATATATTTATTTAATATCAGATTTAATATTTTGTAAATGTCATTCTCCTATACTCGATTACTGCCTATATATTGCCTTTGCAGTGGCATATATAATACCAAGAGCATATATAAGTGGCATATATAAGACCAATAGTGCTTAATACGCTCTTGATAACACTAGGAAAAAATACCTACGTCAATGATTCTGTCAACAACTCTAAATGCTTGTGTGAACCTTGAGGCACCCTGAGGAACCTTGTGCGAGGTTTCTATAATCGTGGAATGCAACACTTTAAACGACTCAGTCCGCTCTAATACCCAGCAAGCTTTTCATGCTTTCCTACAATAGTCAGGTGGTCAATAATGCGTGCTATTTACACATTCTCCTCGGTTTTCATGAGAAAAAAACGTGTGGGAATGCGTCTAAAAATAGGTCGGGTGGGAAGCTAGCTTTCAATTGCGCGCCAACGGGGACACCGCGCTTTTGTTTGTTTATATGCTCAGCTCGCAGCTCCACCTCGCTATGCTTACCCGCGGCCAGAGGTCCAGTGAAAGCTCCGAGGCCAAAGAAGAGCGAGTAGATAGGCTGGACCGTCGGTAGATGCTCTATTCCGAACAAGTCCACGAGCATGGTTGTCTCCATGCTCGCTCGTATGCCTCCGCTGCATCCGTAGAACACGCAGCAAACAACAAACACCGACAGTTCACCCGCCAGCAGAAACAAGAAAGCGATGATTGAAATCGTTAGCGTCGCAAGGCCGTAGACCAGCGGCCGTGGAAACCACGGTCTGTCGCCCGTCGCTGCCACCAGAAAGGCACTGAGTGCACTGCTCACGTTGATCACGCTCATCATCTGTGCAGCCCGCGCGAGACTCAAGCCCTGCGACATGCCGTAAAGCACGCAGAATGTCACGAACATTAGCATACTGAAGCCCATGGCGAGACTACTCAAGCAGTGGGCTCCGAATTTTATCATGTCTGGGATTGGCATCATTAGCGACGTATTGTTGCTGCTGCGACGTTGGCTTAGCTCTTCTTTCGCTGCCTTGGGTATGTCCCGGAAGAGGGCGCTGGCTGCCACCGTTTGTAGGTACATGCCGGCTAGAATGATGAGTGTGCCATGCCACGTATAGAGCTCGATGAGTTTGACACACAGTAGAGGGCCAATGAACGCGCCAACGGCACCAGACGTGATTGCCAGTCCAGTTGCCAGCGAGCGTTTCTTGTCAAAGTACACTCCGTTAATCACTTTCGATGGAGTATTTATCATTCCCCTAGCCACGCCTGCAAATGACCAAATTGATGAGTCAGCGTGGAATCAGCGTTTCATTCATTGGCTAATATACAGATATAGAGATTTTTCCTCTACATCATATACGCCTGGGCAAAATAAATAGAATTCGGAATGTTTTCGCTCACCAGTTTTTTCCGAGTGTTAGCTTGTTATGATTGCTCTCCTTGTTATGACCCAGTGTTTCTCACCACAATTTTTCCAACGACCCTTCCCTTATTGTACTCATAAGGCTCTGCTACTCTCTATGTGACTTAACTGCCCCAGACAAATAGTATGAAATAACGCACTTTCTTGCATTCTAGACGCCAATAAACTGTTATAAAATATATAATTACATAAAAGGGCGGTCACGTCGCAACTATTGCTTTTAAACTTTCTCATGTGAACTTAACCGGGGCATGCTTCTCCAGAAACGATTTCGAGCTAACTCTCTGATGTAATAAAATTTAATGCACATTAGAGAATAAAAACTGAATGAGTAATCTTGTACAAATTAAACAATACAAAATTTTCACAGTTCAGTTTAATTCATGCCATTAAACATTCATGTGTTCACATCTTACTGGGGAAACTAAAGCGCACTCACGCTCCTCACATGTATGTCTTTTCGCTCCAATGAGGCGTATCGCGTAGGAAATTGCGTTATTGAGTTCGCGATTTTCATGTGCGTGTAGATTTGACTGATATATTCTTGAGCCCAATTAAGTGCACAGTCCACACCGCTGTTGCAGAATCATGGCGTGGAAGCCTTATCTTTCATGCGTAGCTAGCAGAATAAGCAAGTACCCTTACTCTCTACCGAAGCTAAGAGCGTCTTTGTTTGGTACAGGCATCTTGCGACCCACCAAAGATCTGCTCGTCACCTCTGTTTTGAAAACCACTGGCTATGTGGTGATCCGTGATTTTGCTGTCACATGCCTTTAGTTCACTGTAAACACGGCTGTGTAAACCTAACAAAGCCGTGGCCTGTGTGAGCAGTAAAGTGATATATCGCCTTGGCAACCACTTAGCACGGACAGTCGCCCACACAGTCAGTGAACACACTGATGTCTTCTGAATTCCCCCGCTCCGGGACTTTACGAGTTTTGCCACGGGCAACGCAAGCCGGAGACAGTTTGATAGTTCTCGGGAAAAACCCGGAGCGGCTGTTAAACTTTTGTTTGGCGTTTGTTTCGCCCTGGTTCTAGCGGATGTTAAACTCTCTTTTTCCGGGGTCTCACTATATTCATCGATAACAGGTCAAGACTTAGACCAACAGTTCTGGCCATAATTAGTGGCGAGACGTTAGTAATGCGTAAGCGTGATATGGCTGTCTTGCCTTCTTGTCACCTGTTGCTGTAGACGAGTAGACACCGACGCCACGCTGCAGTCGGGCTCGTAGGGTCTATATGTCCCCCTGACCTCTGTTTCACCTGGCTCGTTTAGCTATTTCTGACTAACCCTAATCCGAACCCTAACCCTTAACCCTAACCCTATATATATTATGCTAATTATTAAGAGGTATTATTAGCTCTTGATAATGTGAATAATAGCGTCTCCCGATCTAGGTATTCGATCACGCTACGGCCCCGACGTACTACGTTATACACACGATCATTCTACAGTAGAATCATCGTTCTTTAATCTTCTTTCGCATTACTGTGTAGCAAACGTGCGACCTTGTTTATGTGTGACCACTATATATTATATACCTGTTAGCAGGCCGTAGGCACTGATCAGCACTCTCACTTCTGCTACTCCGTAGCTGATGCCCATGCCGACTGTAGCCAGCATCCCTCCTGTCATCACCACCAGCCGATAGCCATACTTCTCCGCCAAGCGGCTAAACAAAATACCTGAAGAAAAAACAAAAACAAAATCTGTGTTTGGTTTGTCACGTGCTTGTTGCATTGTGTTCGAAGGTTGCAAGCCAGGGCAGTGAGTTGTCAATCCAGTTTCAATGCCGTCTCTCTCTCTCTCTCTCTCTCTTTTTCTTTCTCCCGCTTTCTGTCACTCACAAACACACACACACACTCTCTTTCTTTTTTCCCTCTCTCTATCTTTATTTCTTCCCAGTAACTATACACACACACACACACACACACACACACACACACACACACACACACACACACACACACACACACACACACACACACAC